CGCTCAGTCATTATGCTGTCGAAAAGAAGGAATAGGTGATTAGCGGTCGGGGGTAATGAAGCCACTAATCTTTACAACCGTGACTTTGTGGAGTTTTTACCTGTAGGTTTGCCTGCAGGAGTGGAGTGGTGTCAATGGAAAAGATAGCTACCTATCAAGTCTATGTGGACTCTTCGGACTGAAGATTCAGTGGAATCCCGGAATCAGATTGAAGATTTGGTGATCGGAACGCCCCAGGGCTAGTACAAAGGGCATCCAAACAGTATGCCACAGACATTGACTCCAGCATGAAGAAGGAAAGAGGATTCAACAGGAATCCCAAACAATCCAGACAACCCACAGTTGAAGAAACGGCACCACAGTGTATACCAAGGATGGAAACACTCGCTGACCAGCCAAGGCTCCAAGCTTCCACAATTGGAATTGACGCTCAGATCGGATTGCACACAGCCCGAAGCAAAGGAAAGGAGTCACCTTCGTCCTAGATGACGAAGCGAAGCAAACCACTACTGTATGAGACAGAAAAACAACATCTAGCTTTTTCATGGACTCCTGTAATTCCAAGGAGTGCCACAGCAGAAGCAAGGATCGAGAGCAGCCATGCCCAACAAAATCTTCTACCCAAGGGTCTGAAGTGTGGGGCAACAAAGACAGAAAGGCGGCGTCAAAGAATGGACCAGCTACACATGCAGAGTGTGTTGCAGCCAATCGACCCAAACAAATAGCAGTGATTATGAAATTGAAAGAGACGGCATAAATGCACTCATGTTTGTGCGTTGCATGTGAGGAAAAGGAGTTGGCACGGTACAAGGCGCAATAAGTGCAGTCTAAACAATAGGGGAACCTACAAGGGTGTACCATCAGAAGAAGATGCCAGAAGTCCAGTTTCACTTGAGGGTTTGATGTTATCCTTGTGTGTCGATGCATCTGAGATAGGGATGTGATGTCCTGGATGTTCCCAATGCGTTAACCAAACCCCAATGCCAAAAGTCAAACAAGGTGAAGACAGGGTCCTCATGATCATTGAGGGAACCCTTGCAGGTCTTACTTGTCGAAATTGATCCTGACACATATGCCTCTTTCTGACATACAAAAAGGGACGTCCTGTCCTCTATTTTGTCGTGGAGAGAGCCATTTTGGCATGGTTTTGGCAGCATTTCTTTGGTACAAGCTATTCAGAAGTGACCTCGAGCAAATTGGATTTGTTCAACAAATACGATCCTTGTGTGGCCAACCGCATGATCAGAAGGTACCAACAAACAATCGATTCCATTGTTGACGATCTAATGTCAAGCCACAGAATGAAGTTGGTGAATGACCAGACTTGGAATGGTTCAACGTTAGGTATGGAACCTATGGAGCCATGAAGGCAACCCTGGTCCCAAGCATGACTACTGGGGATGACGGTGGATTTTCCGACCAGGAAAGGTTGTGATTGAATGATAGATTACAAGAAAATGTCTCAGAGTTTCCAGTGGACTTTGGGGCAATGAAAAGGTACCAAGTGCAGCTCCTGCGGACCTATTCAGCCTGGTGATGGCACATCCTGAATGACAAGAACAGGGAAACCTATCATACCTTTGCAGCCAAGCTGTTGTTCTGTGCAAGCGTGCTCGAACCAGATGTGCAGACTCTCACTACTGTGTATGCACTCGTGTCAGAAGCCCAACATCTGATGATTGGGACAAGTTGTCAAGGCCTCAAGTTTTTGGATCAGACGGCGCAGGACAAGTTGATCCTACAATTGATGACATACGCATCATCACTTGGTGGGTGATGCATCATTTGCAGTCCATCTGATTACCGTTCCCATAAGGAGGAGTCATGTCCTTTGGAAGTGGGCGGTGCTGTCTGTTCCGAAAACAGAAATTGAATTCGAGGAGCAGCACGGAAGCGGAATTGATTGGGGCTGACGATGTCATGTCGCCCATTTTGTGGGCAAAGTTGTTCCTAGGGGATAGTGTGAAGGACAACATCCTCATGAGGACAACAAAAGCACGATCATTCTTGCAGAAAATGGCAAAGGCAGTTCAGGAAAGAGGACTCGGCCATCAACATTCGTTTCTTTTTTTTTCACGATCAGATTGGAAAGGCAACCTCAGAGTGGTGACTGCCCAACCTTGGAATGCGTGGAGATTTTTTCACGAAGCCCCTTCAGGGCAAGCTTCCATGACACAGGGCTTTCATCATGGGGCATCCACCCCTTGTTTATTGCCTAATTTATTTTATTTGTTCCACGGTACCACTTAGGGCACCGTCAGGAGTGTGATATGGAGACCGATTAACATATCCGGTCGATATCATCATGCAACGTAGTTTAGCTAAATTGGGAATCCTATCAGTTTATCACCCATTTGCTTATACAAAATACCAGCAGTAACAGACATTTGTGTTGGATCAGAGATCTACATCCATCCTTTTAAAAAGTGTGCCGGCGTACCTTTTATATTCGAATTAACCTCCTTATATCATGGAATAGGAACCTAGGGATAGTTAGCGTTCTATTGTGATATCCTATCACAGCACCTATTAGCATGCACCACCCTACACACAGAAAGCAATGCATCAAAACTAATGGAATAGAAGAACAGCTTCATCCTTGATTAACGGTAATACTCGGACCTATTCGATGGCACTCTAGAAAAGTGGCAGATGGAGATAGCGTATTACTAGGGAGTGAGTTCTACTTCGAGTCGTCCATCTGCCACTTTCCAAGTCCATCGAATAGGTCAGAGTACTCGTTAATAAGGAATGAAGCGTTCCTGCTCTTCTTATTCAACTGTTTTGCTTTGGCAAACCTGCTTAGTCAGCTTGTTCGTATTTCATAGAATCTTCTAGAGACATCTGCACTGTCGCAAGGCAGTAGGATCAGGATTGAAAAATTTCTTCTTCATTGGTGTCGCTATTTTCATAGGAATAGATATCGCCGTCCACTCCACTGACATGGTAGTGAAATCGAACTTAAATCCTAAATAGAGAGAATGTCTCGACCTATGATCATGTCATACTGCCCCAAGCTCTTGGTGACGTGTAAATCCACATTCGATATTCTATCATCGGTGAATTCAGGAATCATGAATGCACCTTTGCACTTCGTGCTGGTGTTTAATCTCCTGCAGGGGTAGTCCACATGTTTGACGCCCCCAAGATCCTTCATGCGTAATTTCTTAGCATGATTTGAGCAATCAAAGTTCCGGATGCTCCTGTATCCAGTAAGCAACGGAGTGTAACGGGTTTTGGTTTCCCTTTTTCTCGCTTGTTAATTCTAACATAACGATAGGTTTGAGGTCTCTTGTCTTGCGACGTTTACGAGGTGTTTGCCACGGACGAGGTTAACGATGCTAAATAGATCATCAGAGTCTAGTTGAGCAGCTTCTAGGCAATCATCTAATTTGCCTAGAGTTCATCGGTTGCAAACAATTTTTGTTTACTAGTTAGTGAATCTTCATCACTTTGGTAGAGAAATCGGAACATGGTCCGTTGAGTCATCATCCTGGCTAATCCTCAGATAGATATTCTCCCATCCAAGTGATTGAAATCGATAAGAGGAGTTGTCCTCGTTCAGAGTCTTCGATTTGCGCTTGGCAATATGGTTGCGAAGTTTCAGGTGGTTGCACGAGTATCGTCGATCTCGGTGTCTTCTTCATTGTCGACAGAGGAAGAATGGTTTGTCAGCAACTGTTTCTCGAAGTTCTGAACGCATGTTTTCCTGTGAGCCATCTTCATGGTGAAGGAATAGTTGAGGGTAGCTGAAAGCTATTGTGTTTGTTAACAAAATGCACTACGCTAAAAGCTAGTGTAAAGATCTTTCGAGTGTTTTGAGTTTGAGAGAATGAAAGTTATGAGAGAGATTAGAAAGCTATGAAAAACTAATCAACGAGAGAGATCATCATCAAGGGATCGTAGATCTGGCCTCCCGCGGGAGACTATAAAGTGTAATAGAGTAGGTTGCGGTAGTAATCCTACGTGTCTCCACGATCCTAAAACGGAACGCATGGAAGGTTTGTCTAGCATGGATCTAGTAGCGTGGAAGTACTCCACGCTGGCTAAATATCTAGAGCGATGTTTCATCATCAACCTAGTATGACTAGAGCGGTCATTGAGAACCCTGTCTCAAATGACTATTCACGAGAGACTCAGTCATGAGTCGAACTCAAACCCTATCTAGGATCGAGTCGCGAATAAGGCTAAGATCCGTGTATTGCACTCTGGTGACAATGAGGCAGGAATTGATCCGGACTGGAGGGATCAATATTCTAAGTCCAAACCTCTGCTTCCCACTTGGAAGTCTCTTCCTCTCCACTTGAGAGGGCCCCTTCTCTTGAGAGGTCTTCTGTTGCTATGCCGCTTGGAGGTCTTCTCTTCTTCTCTTATTCCTCTGCCGATTACTTTCGGGCAATGATGATCTCTTCTTCTTCTCGTCTCTTCTTCGCTCTTCTTCTCGTCTCTTCTTTGCTCACGACAATAGACCGAAGGATCGAACAGTGAGTCTTCGTTCGCAACACGCGACAACGAATGGGATACTCGCTTCGAACGAACGAACGAACGACAATGGGATACGACCGTCGCTTCGAACGAACGATGAGTCTTCGAATGAACGAGCGGTAGCTTCGAATCGTTGACAATGGCGCTGCTTCGTACGGACGAACGAACGACGCTGTTACCGGTCTTGTTCTTCTATCGATCGCTAGCTACCACGCCTGATAAGCCGAATTTCCACAGTGGTAGTAGCAGAGGAGGAGGTGTTGATAGAGTAGTTGCTATAGTTGTGTGTTACTACTTGGTTGTTGTTGTGTGGCTGATTCTAGTAAGCTGGTAACTGGATAGTCATTCACGCCTGATAAGCCGAATTTCCACAGTGGTAGTAGCAGAGGAGGAGGTGTTGATAGAGTAGTTGCTATAGTTGTGTGTTACTACTTGGTTGTTGTTGTGTGGCTGATTCTAGCTGGTAACTGGATAGTCATTCAATCGCAGTCACAGGTCATTTTCGCAAGGGTAGACGCATCGCATCGAACAAATAGATTTCAGCCCGAACCTTTGTCGAGTTTTTTTGAAATATCTACGACAGTAGCTCAGTAGCTACCAGTACCGGTGCTAGCTAGCCAGTAGGCCGAAGATCGTCTCCGCCTTCTTCCGCCGTCTTCCATCATCTCATCTTCCTCTTTCCTCCATGGTCAGAGTCTCTGCCTTCCAAGTCCTATCCAATACGGTAGCCGTTGTAGCAATCAGTACTTTTGCTTCTTCGTCCGTTTACTATGATCATCAGTATTAGCGCTCGCTCTGTTCTGCTGTGGCTATTCCTATTGTGCCAATGCGTGATTCATGCCCAGCCGCCACCACAGCAAAAACTGGGAGAGGTCCTGATGTTGGTTTTGGATAAAAACAAGGACCAAAAGGTCACCACGCAAGAGGTGGAATCTCAACTTGAAATGCTGGAATCCCTGTTTCAAGAAGGCGATGAGGACACTCAAGAATATCAGCAGATCCTCAAGTCAGTCCAGTCTGTTGCAACCCAACTGTTTGATCTACTGGATAGCAATAGCGACAAGAAGTTGACAAAAAAGGAGCTAAGCTTCTTTTCCAAATTTGAATCCTCTCTCAAGAAGGATGGTAAATTCAAACCCTTTATTCGAGATTGTTTTGAGCTATTGGATCAAGATGGCGACGACTCTTTGAGCAAGGACGAGTGGCTCAGAGCAAGAGAACAAAGCGTCATTGCTGAAATTGCCGTAAAGTTTCACAATATCTTTCCGCTGCGAAAAACGCCACAGGAATTGGAAGAGTTTGTCCAACAAGCAATGGCCATGAGTAGTGAAGACGCCGACATCAAGGCGACTGAGCTATTCAATTATTTGGACTCTAACGGGGATGGGATGGTGCAACGAAAAGAAGTTGGATCTGCCTACAGCACGGCTGGGAAAAAGTTTGTTGAAATCAGCAAGACCATCAAGCAAATGGGGCCCATGTTAGCAATGTTTGGTGGTGGAGCTGGTGGGCCTGGCATGAGGACGGAATTTTAAACAATACGCCTGACTTTACGGTACTGCACTTGCCACTCTCTGAGACGGCAACCATCGTGCGACATGTAGTGCTCTGCTGGGGACGAGAATTCCCTTAGCTGGTACGGTAGGAACCACGGCGATTGGTCTTTTTTTTAGTCATCGCCGAGCTCTAAGTTGCTGCTTACTAGTAGAATGCTTTGCAGATGTCCATTTTGTTAGTTACTATGGTGTCATTCATAATCTATCAATCCTTCCGTGTGTTCGTACAGTACGGTATGTGCTCCGTATCCAAAAACGGTGAGTGAGAACTCCAGCAATATCTACCTGTGGGGGATATGGACTCCATACCATGAATGCATTCAAATACAGCGCTCGGATATCCTCAAGTCTCTCCACACATGGTAGTACTGAGTATGAGTTGTCGATTGAGATTTAGCCCAGCTTCAGTACCAATGGCCTGACAGTTCCATCGCACACAGCTACTACGACTGACTTGGCACCAGTCACTCTTTGCTAAAATCGTTTGACTTAGCTAGAGCTGCCAATCTTCACTTTTCAGCAAACAGTAGGGAAGCCGAGAAGAGACATCTTGATTCACTGGCCATTTTGCTTCGACTCGGATGACGGTCTAACACAACAGGTGTCCTAACTTTAGCAAAGAAGGCCTGTGTGGATCTGGCCAGACGTAGAGACCGCCGTGGAACAGTCCCCACTTCGCACTTGGGACAGGTAAAAGAACGCAATCCACATGAAACAGGAGCAGTTCGCTGGCTCGATCCCATGACAACAGACTACAACGAACGACCAGGCAGAACAGCTACCTACATCTCTGGAAAGTCCTGATCACAACAGCATTTGTGAAAAAGAGCTATGGGCATATCAATGTAACAGAGCATTTTCCCCACCCATCACATGTATAGGCTTTCTTATCTCTCACTCCATGCTAGAGGCATGGTAAACATGGGTATGTGATGTATGAACGTTGTGGGTTGTTGGTAGAGTGATCGACGCGTCGGGCATTCGACTTGGCATGTATTGGTCTATTTCTATGAGGTTAGTTGCGTTCCAAGTCGAATCCAGACGACATCCTGGGATGGTCGAATGCAGTATCCAACATTTCTTGAATTGACGTGTCACTGGCTCTCTAAATGCTTGGATGTGGATTGGGTATGTACAGTATCACCTTCGTCGCCTCGGAGAGAACTTCGAGCTACTTCGACAACAATTTTCAAAGGCTCAGGGCTTGAGTGCTTCTTTGGCATTGGTTGGTGGAGAAGTTGTCAAGCTGGCTGGAAGCTGAATATCTTGAGGCTCGGTGAATAAATGACAAATCTCCCGGTTGACACCCACCCAAGCTTCGTCGTAGCGTTCTTCTTTGCCAGTTTCGCCGGTCACATTGCGCACATAGAGGCCTTGAATCTGATTGGGGTATCGTCGGGCAATTTCGCCGTACACTTCGGGGTCCTTCTCTCCTGTGTCACCCACTAGGATAAACTTCCGCTGAGGAAACGAGTCTAGGATGGATTCAATCACTTCAATCTTGGTTTCCAAGGGACATTTCCAAAGATCAAACAATGTACGATCCTTCAGTCGAATGGGCTTCAAGTGGTACGTCGCGTGAGGGAATCCAATATCGCTTAAAAAGCCTGCGAGTTCTTCCCACAACTGCCAGGGGCTGCTGGAAACAAAGTGGAATTTGCAATCCAAATCCTCGGCCCACTCTTGATACAACTCGGCCATGCCGGGCACTTGCTTGAATTCTTCCATAAAGGTGGATCGGAGCAATGCCTTCTTGTTGCCCACTCCCGTGATTTTGACAGTGTCGTCAATATCACTAATGACACTGACGCCCTCGTTGGGGATCAAATGCGACATGCCCTCAAAGACACGATCATCGCCATCCTCCACAATAGCCTGGAAGTGGAGGGTATTCTTTTCGTCGCACGTGGCTTCTTGTATGGCCGCCAGTTCTTGGTCGTCAATTTGCAACATGGCCTGAAAGTGGCCGTTCTTTTTGGATTGAGGGAGGGGAAAGACACGGCAACTCTCGCCCGATGCTACCGAGCAACCCATTTGTACGGCCAGTTCTTTGCGGCGTTCATTGTTCACCAAAAAGGTACCTAGTCGACGCTTGAGAATCTTGGTCTCTTCTTCTTCACGCTTGAGTCCCAGGTACTTGCGAAGCGATGCGACAATAGCGCTGACAGACGAACGACGGGAAGGAGAGTGAGTGAGTGAATGTGAGAGGGAACAGTACGATTGAATTTTCATTTTCTTTCTCTTCATGATGCGTCCAAACAAAAACTCACCGTCTAGCTGGATCTCTGGTTTCAGGTTCATAAATCCATCCATGAATGGGGATATCCCACCCTTTGCCATCTTCGGATCGTCTGGCTGCAGTAGGAAAAAAGACAACTTTTTCGTCATGCTTGATTCGCGCTCTTCGACTCTTTCGTTTCTTCTTGTCATTATTGCTCGCAGAAGGAGGACTGCCGGCAATCTTGGTAGGTGTTGCAGCTGTGGCATCTACCGTACGGGTACTGCTTCCGCGAGATATCAATGCCGAAGCAAAAGAAGATTGGTGGCTTGCAAGAAGAAGCGCCAGGGGCATCAAGCGCCACCATCTCGTTGGGGTTTGATGGCTTTTCATATTGATAGTGATGTTGTGATGGCTTGTTTGTTGGTGTATCTTGTTTTATAGGAGATCTGGCTATTATAGCAGCTGCGAAGGCCTTGGTGATGTACCACTTTCTCGTGCTGTCTTTCGAATGACGCTATGGCCCTTTGTATCTATGCTGTGACCTCTTCTTCTGATAGAGAAGATTCGTTCCCTCGTGCTCTCCAACATTCGTTTGATGCTCTCCTTTGCTGCTTGTTGGCATTGGATGATGGCACCTACAGATCGTTGGAACGGGAAGAAGTGGAGTCGTAGTCGACAGAAGCAGCTTGTTGGACTGCGACGTGGTCGAAAGAATGCCGAATAAATGAGAATGCATGCAAAAGGCTCGGAGCGAAGATTCGATTGATTTGACCCACTCGACTCAACTTCCGACAAATTCGGTCTCCATGAGACCACGCACCTTTTGGTTACCCCCTCAGTTGCACTCTGAAATCGATTGGCTCGCGTTTACTGTGTAAATTAGTGTACCCGCACTTCAGTTGCAGAATCAACGGTCATGTGTATCCATAAGTAACAGGTTCTCGTTCGATAAAAATAGATCGATTCGTGGATAAAGGAACCGTTGAAGTTACTAAGGTTAAGGATTTACGAAAGAATCGAAGAACGAATTGAATTGTTGACGGTGCAGCACTGACTTCTCTCCCTCATTGAATTGCTATGGTAAACAGGAGAGAAATCCAAGCTTGGCCGACAACAATGATGCATGGTGAGTGCTTTATCCAATCGGCCGATCGATCGAATCGATTCGAGGTAAGCCTATTATCAAGAGTGTTAATTGAAGGTACAGCGCTGAGTTCTCTCCCTCATTGGATTTCTATGGTATTGCGAACGGAGGCCGATGTGCAGTACGATGTAGACATGGGATGACACAAAAGAATAAGCAAAAAATTAAAAGGGGATTCTACGTCTACCTCGTTCTAGCGAGTCCCGGGAGGTTCACCTCGTGATTGCCAACCACAGCTGGTTTTGGCTCCTCTCGCACTCCCTCTTGAACCGAACGGGTAGCAAATTTTGTACCGTAGTCCTCTTTGCTGCACAACGATGTCAAACTCTAAACAAACACAAAATGCAATGTAGTGGTAGTGGCTCCATCTCTTGTATTTTCGTAGATCAACCTCGTCCTCGTTAATTCTCGCTCTCGTGCTCGTCCTCGTCTTCGTCCTGCTCCTTTCTTCATCATTGTCGTCGTCAACTTCAATGAATGGCTGCTCAGGGTCGTTCCATTCATAGTCATTCTCCGAGGCGGCGTAGCACGTCCCGTCCTCCTGGGAGGCACCTTGCGCTGTTCTTCAATGGTGAGACCCCAAAGTTGAACTCCCGTGCGCTGAAATGCTGGAGACAAGTTCGACGTTTCGTGACAGAAGGGATACGATCTTGTACACAGTGTCTTTATGAAAGCCACTAGCTTGAAATGAGCGCGGAGCGACTCCAATTTTGGTCTCGATGTCGAGTCCGCTCAGACCACGATCTTCGACCTGGTGGGTTGTAAGGAAGTCCGTGAACCAACGCTTCCCGACCATCTCGACTGTGAGGTTGCGACTGCTATCTTGAGCTGGACGGCATCGAACTAGAACAACAGGCTTGTCGGTATCGAGCTTCGAGCTGTCATTCCCGGCAGCTTGCTTTCTTGTTTGATCGCGACGGCAGTTCCAGCTCTAGTTGTCTTGGGGACCTTCTTGGAAGTGGCGGCGACGACTTCACGACGCTGGTATCGGAGACCGAGTCGTCGTTGTTGGATGCTGCTGAAGTGTCGGCGACTGCAGCAGCTGAATTGGCGACCTGAGTGAACAGACCAGGCTGGTGGTTAGCATGGCGAGGAGCTTGTTGACGGCAGGGTCTTGTAGCAACGTTCCCACGTCAAGAACCTTGTCAGCAGGGTCGGCCTTTGCAACAGGGGTAACCGCGGTTGGCTTCAAGGTAGCTTGCTTCTTCCCAGCTGCTTTCTTCACGGTAGCCTTCTTGGGAGCTGGCTTCTTCGGAGGAGCTTCAGCAGCAACTGGAACTTGCTTGGGAGTACCCACAAGCACCTTGCGACGGTTCTTCTTGTTGCTTTTGGGTTGTTCTTTCCGGTGCGCTTCATGGTCGATCTCAAGATGGAGTAGATATGCAACAGATAATAAAATGCAGGGTGTGTGCAGCTCGTGGTCGTAGCAGTCCTTCTATTGTAGGTCCACTTCGATTTTGTGAGCCTTCAAATCAAGTTGTTGTTGTTGAGCTCCCTCTGGAGCGAAACCCACTTCGCAAAACGGTGTTGATTGGCGTGGTTTCTCAGCGTGGTAGTTTTCGACGTCCAGATGGAAATCAACTTTTTTTGCGCTAGCAACGACTTGAATTTGAAAATTACAGCGTGGAGATCGCGCGCGACGTGACATGGTGACGTTGGAGTGCCCTTGTCGTGACGCAATCAATTTGGTAGAGTTGGAGTTGGCGAAAAAGAAAAAAAAGGAGTTCTCCCTCTTTGGCGAGATCTAGCTTGCGCGCGCAATCCAATGACGTGCGCACCAGTAGAACGACGCCAACATCTCTTCCGCTAGCTCCAACGCGACGACAACATGCAGCTCGAGCCAGAGGAGAAGAAAATATCTTACTCCGCGAGCTGAAAAAAACTGTAGCACGCTACCAGCCCATTAAACGAAGTCGAAGCCGTTCGAAGACTTCTCTCGCTAAGGGTTTGGTGAACATGTCAGCCGAGCTTTGGTCTGCTGTGTCGATTTTCGCCACCTCGAGCTTACCAGGCTTGAGATGACTGCGGAACCAATGCACCTTCACATCATAGAACTTTGAGCGAGGAGTGCTTTGACCTGGTTCCAGGTTTGCCAGAGTTAGAGCTCCCACGTTGTCTTCCCAGACAGTCGTCTTGAACGAGGTCAAGCAACGCTCATTAATGCCCATCCCTTGGGCGACAGCTTTCACTGTGTTGCGCAATGGGATTACCTCCATCATACAGGTGGCTAATGCATAGTACTCCGACATCATGGTTCTGAGGGCGATGCTCTTCTGCAGTTTGCTCGCCCAGACTATTGGACAGTCATTGAGGCAAATGACAAAGCAAGTCCTGCTCTTGACATTGGCAGGATCCGTCCTTGTCTCCTTCCCATTCAGACCCATAAAGTCTGCATCCACATAGGCATCCCTCTTGAAGGAATCCGGGGTAATTGGCTTCATTGTGAGGCCCTTTCTCCTGGGTTCTTCACCAATTACTGGCCAATGCGGATCAGAGCGAGCTTATGGCTCCTCTTGGGTTGGAAAGCAAACCGGTCAGCTTGGCTGACAGCAAAACCTAAATCTGGCCTGGAGTGACCATATAGGTAACATAACATGCCGATCACACTGGCATAGTTAAAGGTGCAATTTGCTGGATCGCCAAACTCATCTTTTCCCAGAGTTTCAGTCGCAGGTGTGTCCACACCAGGCATGTCCTTAAATCCCAATGCATCAATGATTCCAGCAGCCAAGCCAGACTGAGACAAGGTTATCTCTCCATTAGCTTATTCTTTTGTGTCATCCCATGTCTACATCGTACTGCACATCGGCCTCCGTTCGCATGAGTGGCCGTCAACGTCAATGGGTTTGGGCTGTGGATGCGAATGAAATATCGAGATAAGTCGAGTCCCGTTTGATTCCGGTTTGACTTCATGTCCCGAGTTCTTCATTCATGGATCGAAGTAGTGAGAATTCTTTCTGAAAGATGACAGCGACAATGTCAAGTTGTGGGAATGCCATGGACCTTGAAAGGATCTATCATCTTCATAAATTATCTATATTGTTTGTGTTGCAACCTTTGCCTCAACGCCATGTTTACTCTTCGACGTCCCATTGCCTCCATTTTGAGGAAGAATCTCCACAAGAATGTGACTGCCCTCAGCATTGGCCATACACGAAGTCTCTCCTCCATTCCGTCCGACGACTTTGACCATGAATTGACGGAAAAAACATCTCCCATTACGGTCTTTACAGAAGACGAACAAATGACACGCGATGCTGTCCGTCAATGGGCACGAGAAGAATTACAGCCAATCGTTCGAGATATGGACAATGAAGCGAAACTACGACCCGAGATTCTGCAAGCCCTCTTTGACCAAGGATTCATGGGGATGGAAATACCGGCCGAATACAATGGGTCCGAATTGAGTTTTACCAGTGCCTGCTTGGCCGTCGAAGAAATTTCACGAGTCGACCCAAGCACTGCTATACTTGTAGATATACATAACACGCTCAACAACAATGCCGTGAGATTCTGGGGAAGCGAGGATTTGCAAAAACAGTGGCTGCCCCGATTGGCTACTGACACGGCATCGTCGTTTTGTCTTTCGGAAGCCGATAGTGGCAGTGATGCCTTTGCCATGAAAACTACCGCCACAGCGTCGCCAGACGGAAGTTACTATACGATCAATGGAACTAAACTCTGGATCTCCAATGCCAAGGAAGCTGGAGTCTTTCTCCTTTTTGCCAATGCGGATCCTTCCAAAGGATACAAGGGCATCACGGCATTCATGGTGGATGCCAACACGGAGGGAATTCATGTAGGAAAGCCTGAAAACAAGTTGGGGCTCAAGGCATCTTCCACGTGCCCCTTGACATTTGAAAATGTCCAGGTAGATGCCTCCCAAGTTCTGGGAGAAGTTGGTTTGGGATACAAGTATTGCATCAACATTCTAAATGAAGGTCGGATTGGGTACGTGATTGCATGGACAAAGATAAACAACCGGGGTCAATGCTTCATCTTTGTGCTGCGTCCAAACAGTTAGTTGAACGAGTGAGAGTCGAGTAATATGCTGACTTACTAATCGCCTCTCTTCTCTCTCTATTGCACTTCCAGCATTGCTGCTCAACAGATTGGAATTGCCAAGGGATGCTTATATGACATTGCTCTACCGTATATGATGGAACGCAAGCAGTTTGGATCTGCCATTGGAGACTTTCAGGGCATGCAACACCAATATGCACAAATGGCAACAGAAATCCACGCGGCAGAGGTCATGATGTACAATGCCTGCCGGCTCAAAGAAGCGGGGTTGCCATTTGTCAAAGAAGCTAGTATGGTCAAGTTGTTCTCCAGTCAAGTGTCAGAACGGACTGCTAGCAAAACGATCGAATGGCTTGGTGGCATTGGATTCACCAAGGATCTCATGGCCGAAAAGATGTATCGTGACTGCAAAGTTGGAAGCATCTACGAAGGGAGCAGCAACATTCAACTTCAGGTAAGAGTCCAGGAACTCGCGTTCACTTTCACGCCCATCACAACGTTTCTTCTTAATAAAATGACAGCTCACAAATCGTTTGTCCTTCTCCCAGACCATTGCCAAGCTGATCTCCGCCGAATACAAATAGGACAGTTCGACGGAGCAAAGGCGGGTATCGGTACAGTGCCCTTGCTAGCATGCTGATCATTGTCGAAGATACGCTACCGGCAGCTAGCAGCATAATCATTAGAGACAACGCAATGTGAAATCAACAACAACTAAATACAACAGTAATAGAACGACTAGTCTAGCTAAGTTTCATTTGCAGCCGGCGGAAGTACGAAATGGTAACATGAAAAGTAAGCTAGCTTTAAAAAGTACAATACTGCCTGTGCTATCCCCAACAAGTTTGAAGTTACATCGCACTACAAAGCTACTATACCTTCTCACCGAGCAGAATCGGTGTCTCCTAGCTATGCCTAGTAGACCGCGGTTTCCCACCACAAGGAAAGCCAGTCACCAGAGAGGTCCAGAACTGTCGTGTAACACTAACTAAATCAAAGCCTGGACGCTGTGGAGCAAGGGTCAACACATCAACATTGCTGTCCTCTACCTCACCACAGAATGGCACTCGCAAGCATCCCGCCCTAGTGGTAGCATTACTAGGATCCTTTTCGTCGTCCTCTTCAAAACTACTTGCGGGGCTGCTGGCCACGGTGGGAGTTGGGGAGGAATCTTTTGGCTTGTCGTTGTTCTTCTTCTCGTTTTCCGAAGTGGTACCGTATGCTGCGGCCTCTGCCACAGCTTGGTGCAACCGGCATTCCAAGGGATGCTCATGCATGGGATACGGGCACGATCCGCCATACTGCATCGGTAGATGATCATCGTCGACGTATTTTCGCAACGTGTCCAACGTATTGGCTACCGACACAATTTCCACCGGCAAGATATCTGGCAGGAAGGGTTTGATGGTGGCAAAGACTCCAGCTACCCAGAACGGCGAATTGATCACGAGTACACGGTCCAGATAGACGGGGAAGTACTTTTCTGACATTGCTGCCATGCGCGTGAGAAAAGTAAACACTTTTGAGTCTAGCAAGTGTGGTCCTGTTCCCTTGACATCCATGACCATGATCAACCCCTTGGATGTGGGGCTAGGGTTGTCGAGATCTAATACCAAGGGTTCCCTTCCCAATAGTTGCCAAGTCTCCCGGTCAGTGTAGAGACAATTGGCCGAGTACTCTGCCATGAAGCAATGATGATCCAACATTTCATCAATGACTCCTTTTTCTGGAAAGAGAGCCTTGGGTTGCATTTGCCCTGGGAATGAGTATTCCAGTACATAGCCATCCTTACTGACCCCATAATAGCAACTGGGATAGTACTGCTTTGCGTGGTGGAACCGATGGTTTGGGCGCGTGTGAATGGACCAGATCTTCTGTTCTTTTCGCCATTGTTTGCACTTCTCCCAAATTACTCGAGCTTCCGCTGGATCAAAGTCAGCCATTTCGAGAAAGTCGTCGGGTATCTTTGCGGAACAGAGACCAGGTGGAACAAAAGCTGGTCGACCGTCGGATGGGTATACAGTCATTCCATCGACGTAGACGGCAATCTCATACTCAGGGTCCACAGAATCAAAGAAGAGATCCCCATCTTCGTCCTTTACGGCCTTTTCTTCCTTGAATGACGACGGGCAGTCATTGTCCTCATTCCCCTTGTCCATCACCACAACGAATTGATTAACATCCTTGGAAACGTCCCTACTACTTTGTGGCGACTGATCTTCTTCTTCGTCTCTGAAACTACTCGATGCCGAAGAAGTAGTTTGCGAGGACATCTCGCCTGTTTCGCATGTCAGACTGCGAGCTTTGGAGTACGCTTGCTTCATCACATCGGCCTGTTGGCTGGTCGGTCGAATGGTGCAGTCACTGTTCTTGTGCGGTGGCGCTATTGTTGCATCCTCCGAGCTGGAAAGGCCTGCCCAACGAAGCATCGTCATGTCAGAACCGTCTACCGTATAAGTACTTTATCTACAATCAATCGACACCTACTAGCTAGTTAACTTGCTAGGTATTTCTGTGATGGTTGACGGATTGGTTTGTTTCAGCTGGGTTTTGGGTTGTGGTGCCTGTGAGCACAGGCATGCATGATTATTGTGGTGGTTGCCTTTCAACTTCTTCTTGAAGTCGCAAGACCTCCTCATCTTCGGCGGTTTAGTCCCCTTTGAACGTCAGACCAGACGGCTTATTTTCAATCTTCCTCGCTAACGCACACCCGATCACCTCCAACGGGCGTTCGTGGCTTGGGCCTGCGATTGACACCACAAAACGTAACAGAACTGATTTTGCTTTGGCTATTGGCTCATTGGCTCCCCAAAAATTCCCTTTTGACACCCTGTGCGACGTGGGTTCCTTTCCTTGAGATGATGTTTTCTGAAATATGTTTCAACGTCATTGGTTTCCAATTCTGATCTACCAACATCAAAGAGACGGTTCCTGTAGCTAGTCTACTGTGGTTGTCCAAGATGCGGAAACTTTGACTCTTTTAGGCTGAGATGGTTGCGGTACAACAACATAGCTGGCTATCCAGTGCAACTACAGTATCGTGGTTGTCTTCTAGTTCAGTATCTATCTCTGAAAACCTAGCTTGGATCTCTGGGACGGTTTCCTGTTCAGTGTGCTGATCATGTTTTCTGAGGTGTATTTCAGCGTCATTGGTTTCCAATTCTGATCCACTCCTCCTAGTACTGTAGATATTGACAGCAAAGGATGGATGTCGCATCGTCGTTGCCCTAGCTTGCTTAGAAGATACTTGGCTCTTGGGTTGAGATGGAAGCTACATGGCAGCGGTGCAACAATCTGGGCTGGCTGGCTACTAACATGGTTTCTTTTCTCCCTGAAGGATGTTTCCAGCACCTTCATTGCCTGAATTAGCCAATTCGCTCTCAACTAGCTAGCTAGACTATGCATAGCCGGTAGAGTGCCTCGTCCTTTCAACACGAGGAAATCAAGCTCGAGTTAGTTCTGTAAAATGGAGGGAAACTTTCAACTCCTTGCGTTCAGCTTGACCAGAAGCCACCCTACTAGCTAGCCTAGCCAGCAGTTTGATTTTGCATGTGACCTATGCATACGGCGGAGACAAGCCCTGGGGGGGGAGTCTTGCTAAGCACTCGTGGGTTGATAATGTATACTGCAGCCATGATTGCGCTGTTTGTACTACTGTACATATACCGGTAGCTAGCTAGAAAGGTTTGCAAGCTTTTTGTTATTGGCTGATTGTAAATGGAAGAGATAATGATAATAATAGATACTTCTAGAAGGCGAGCTTGGCTCAAGCCATCCAAGACCTTGTGGGAGATAATAGTATAACTCCATCCCATCAAGGTATCAAAAGCAGGTAGCTGCGACTGCTGTGTTGTCGTCGTCCGAGAGTGAGTGAGTGATCATCTGACTGCTGGAGTGATGATCCCCATGTCGAACTCATCTTCTCGTTCCAGTCCGTCGTCATCGACCATACTGACTAACAAGTTATCATAGACATCGGAATCATCGTATTCCGTTTCATCTTCAGTAGGATCATGCTTGTAATCGTATACATCATGAACGAATTCGCCTTCTGTGCAAAAATCGAATTCTTCGTCTCCATAATAGTCGGCATCGAAATCGTCGTCATCTTCGTCGTCGTCATCGTCGTTGACATTGTACGACTCCTGCTTCCGGAGCCCAGCCATGAAGATCTGGTAGGCTTCAAATTCGTCTTCGGCCGCCAATTGAACGGCCCTTTTTCGTGCCCACTTGCTGCAGGCTTCGGAAAATAGCTGCAAACCAGTGGCGGGATTCTTAATGCCCGATCGTCGCTGCTTGGCTTGCAACGCCAAGACGCGCTTGACAAAGTTGGGAGGTGGTCGTTGCAAGAGTTTCTTTTCCAATCCTCGCGTGCACAATTCTTCTTCTTCTGCTTGAGCCTGTTGTTGATTGGCACGAACGGCCTGGACGATCCGAATGGTGTCTTCGCGGAAGGATGCTACTTCTTGGACGGAAAACCAAAGCGTGTGGTCGTCCACCTCTGTTGTTTCTTCAACATTGTCGTCGTCATGATGTTGCACCAGTTCAATAGTGTCGTTGAAACGAACATTCTTCATGGGTGTTAGTTCATCTTGTAGGGAGCTCATGGTACTTGCGGTTGTGGAGGATGCAGCCATTGTAGCTGTAGTTGTTGTTGTATTGTGAGAAATACTGTATTGTGAGCCAAGATGACTGCTCGCTGTTGTTATCACACTTCGGGTTTCTGTCTGTCGAAGGAAGTCTCTTCTGCTTCCACACCTCAAGTAGGTATGTTCTACCGCACGACAGTACCAGGTTATCTTATCTTAGCTGTGTGATGTAGAAGACACTTCTTGAAACTCACTGGTAAACGAGTTCTGTTTTGTGGTTTCTACTGCCGCCGAGCTGTGTTGACGAAGCTAAGAAAGATCAAAAGATGCTGTGATTCAACGATTAGCGATAGACTAGCTAGCTAGTGGATTTGGTTCGCTGTTGCTTGTTGTTGTGCGCTGTGTGGAGCTCCGTAGCATCTCCATCCAATGAGAGTCTCAGCCTCCTCACTTCCGGTGGGGGCAGTTTTGGCCATCCGTTAAAGTTTTCCATCGAAAAGGCCACAATTAACAAACGATTTTGGCGAACCCTCCTCTCTTAACATTTAGGTTCCCTTCCTTACAATTCGAATGACCTGGTCGCTGGTTACAACAAAATATCTCAATATGGCGGCATCCAATAGGAATAAAGCCTAACCAGCTGCCTCCACTTGTGTCTTTGACACAGCCAAATCAGCCTAAACCCTAAGAAAGATACACTTCTGACTCATTGATGCGAAATGGTGCCGCAGGGATGGCTGCAATGACAATATATTATGTAGACAATAGCCGACCTACGCAACAAAAAATGGCGGCGCTTTGCTCCTCTTTGCAAGCCTCCTGATCTGTTTTAGTGTACCTCTGAGATAGATACTGTAGCAGCTTCGACCTGCAACAACACCAAATAACAGCTTTGAATTCTGCAAACGTAGTACCATGAAGCAATCTCTGTTTTGTGACCAATCCAGTCGAATGCTGTTGTGGTGGCTGCTGCTTACCTCATCATCGAGCAATGCACTCCAACCAACGGGAATCAATGTCCAACCAATACCGCAGCAGCAGCAGCAGGAATATTCACGTCGCAGCTTTGCCATGGCTACGGCATCCATGGTGACACTATCATTATTTCCAAGTGCCAATGCCCAAGCCATGGTGATCAACCCCAAGACGGGCATTGCATTGCCCGAAAAAGAGGAAATAGAACAGTCGATTCCGGTGGACTGGACAGATGTGGAAAATCCATTCCAGAGTAGCTCCAACAGACAATTCGGTCGACTAGATGGATCACCAGACTCCATGTTTTACCAGGCTCCTCGATTTGTCGAGCATGTCGATGAACCAGCCGTCAAGACAATGACATCCTATATTAGCCAACAAGCCATTCCCGCTGCTGCAGCAAAAGTTGGTGATGATGATGTACGAGTCTTGGACTTGTGTTCCAGTTGGACCTCTCACATTGATTTAGACGCAGTAGGAGGAAGGAAACCCAAACGGATATCAGGGTTAGGTATGAATGACAAAGAACTTGCCGGCAACCCTGTACTAGATGATTGGGTGGTCAAAGACCTGAATGAAGATCCCAAGCTCCCTTACGAGGACAACAGTTTCGATGTCGTCTTGTGCCAGTTGAGCATTGACTATCTGACCAAGTGAGTTATCTACATGTAGTTGACACCATTTTGTGCCCTTGGTTTGTTGTGAAGGATGGAAACAAGAACTAATCAACTTGTCAACAATCATACACGTATCACCTTAGACCACTGCAAGTGCTCCAAGAGGCAAGCCGCGTGATGCGCCCCGGTGGTACGATCCATATCCTTTTCTCCAATCGATTGTTCCTCAGCAAGGTACGTATGTTTCACACCGCCAATCGTTCTGAAGCAGCTCCTGGGATGGTCGTTACTGGCTGAAAACTAACAACGTGCATTGCAAATAAATCCACAGGCCATTGCTCTGTGGACTGGCGCCGACGACATTGACCATGCCTACACAGTGGGATGCTATCTTCACTTTTGCGGTGGGGGCTTTCAGAATATTCAAGCAAAAGATCTGTCAATACGAAAGGGGAAGGATCGACTGATTGCTTCAGATCCTCTTTACGTTGTGACCGCTACCAAGGGATGAACAAATTGCTGCAACCTGCAAATGCATACAAATGTATCTATAACCAGGTGCAAAGGTTCTTCTTCAAATCGTGGAGTTTACTTTCCTGTACGGTACATTGTTTATTTCAAGAAATCTCCATGTTGTCTCGAATAGTTTCTTCTATTCGACTGTAGTATTGCAACATGATAGTGAGCTCTACGGCCTTGTCTAAATCCTGTGCGTCAAAGGCTTGAGCCAATTCTTCCCCCACCTCTTGCATGCGCGTATTGTTTTCTTCCGACAATGATTGCAACTTGGCTTGATCCGACCCGGCTTCTTCAATCGCTTCTCGAATTTCCATCACTTGCATCAACAGCATGGAGGATGCAGGGCTGGATCCCAGTAATTCTTGCAAAGATGATTCGTCAAAGGTATCCTCCACTTTTCCCAACAATTGAAGCATGTGGGTGGCTCGTGTCGAATCTTGTTGGAGTATTTGATAGGACCGTGTCACCAAAGTGGCTTGTTCGGAAAGAGCCTGTTGCTCGGCGAGTGGCTTGCCATGGTGTTTGTCAGGGTGAAACTGAGCCATTAATCGTCGATAGGACTGCTTCAGTTCGTCTTGAGAAATATCAAATCGTCGGTCCAAATTCAGCAACGTAAAGGCATCGACTGGTGCATTATTGTCATTCCTACTACTATCTTCGGAAGAAGCTGCCGCCGACGACCACCGCAATGCTACCGTCTTGGATACCGAAGTTGCCACTGGGCTTCTGAAGACTCTATTGGCGCAATTCTTGGTAATAGCAGCAGAAACACTCCACATTGTTCTTCTTTCAACACAGACAGAACAGGTCGGTCAATGGCTCTACTATCTAGCAATTGCTCTGCACTTGCGGGTTGTTCTCAATTGACAGCGAAGAAATGAAGAAGTGCTGTGGTCTGGCCCACCAGAGAAGGTTGGTTGCCACCAACGAATTTGTCAGCCTTGCAGCTTTGGAAAAGACGGTGACGTGTCGTAAGTCACGTCTGCAAATCACGAGTGGTACCAACGCAGATCTTCATCATCATCCTTTAGCATTCTCGGTTCGCCATGAATAAGTGGCAGCACTGCACTCACTTTGAAAGACCAATTGAATAGCAAAATGACGGTGACAATGAGGCAGCCAACTCTCCTTTTGCTACTAGTCTCTTGCTTGCTATCAGGGGCAGCCCTTGGGTTTTCTCCGAGTTTGCCAGTGGGACACCAACAGCTGCGCGTGTTGGGGTCTACCACCCCACTTTGGTCTACCAATGATGATGATAACCAATCCGAAGAGGAGGAAGCGGCTCGCCTCCAGAAAAAGGCCAGTGAACTACGAGACCAGATTCGTCAGATGGAAGAACAGTTGGGAGGAGAACGAAAGCGCAACTACGAAATCCCCACCCCAGTGGAACCAGAAGAAGATCTCACCTTGACGGGAAAATCACTGCGACGCAAGCGAGTACTGGTGGTAGGTGCCAATGGACGGCTGGGTTCCATGGTGTGTCGCTATCTCTTGCGAAACACCACCGACGACACGGAAGTGATTGCCGCCGTCCATTATGTGGGAGAAGACTCGTACACATCACGTGGATACGGAAGATTGTCCTACGAAGTGGGAGCCGAAGATGGTGTGGGTAACATTGGTGCTGCCTGGTCGGCCGAAGATCGAGTCGCGACGTTTCAGTACACGGACGAAATGAAAAGCTACAATTTGCAAAATCTGAGGTTAGTCGAAGTGGAATTGCTCAATCCGACACAGTGCGATACCATTACGGAAGGAGTCGACTCAGTAATCTGGTGTGCGACGGACTACAATGATAATCAACCCAGAGCGGTTTCAGGATTGAATGTGGCCTTTCTCTTTCGAGCTGTGACGGATACAACAAAGGGAAGAGTGGAAATCGAAGGACTCCAGAATATTCTCGGTAGTCTCAAGAAAAACTTGCAAGAAACGAGGCGTAAAGCTGGCAAGGATATCAGCGCGGTCAATCCCAATGATCCTGTCAACATGGTACTAGTGTCTCCGGCGCCTGGGATCTTTGGAAACTTTGAAACACCCTTTGGAGAATTCAACGCCATTAAGCGACAAGGGGAACAGATTGTCTCCAAGGAGTTTCCTAGCCTGACCCACACCGTATTGCAAATGGGCAAGTACGAAGACAACTTTGTCGAGGAAGATTTGGAACTGCTGTTCGAAGAATCTTCCTGTGAGTATGAACAAGAATTGGAGAAGGATAGCTATCGAGTCCGCATCAATCGAAGAGATGCTGCAAGAGCAGCCGTTCAAGCCTTGACGGATGAGGCGATTGAAGGAAAGATTGTCAAGTGCTGGACTGCCCTGAGAGGATAACTAACTCGTCTTGGACTTGAAACCACGTGTCCAGCAAGACACTGGTAGAAGCATCTAAGTTCCGTTGTACAGAGATCTAAGCTACAATTTATTAATGCGCATATCCTATTTTCCTCGCAGCAGTCTGTCAAACTCAATTGCCGTTCCTATCCACAGAGAAGTTCGCGTGTACTACATTTGACTGGCACATTCACAAGTACCGAATGAGCCGAGGATCATTGATAAGTTCGTGCCGGAGGAGACGATTGTCCATTATCGGTTGGCCTTTCCATTTCGGGCAACGATATCTTGCTTTGTCGATTGCTGTCGATGCTGACAATGGTGGCACGATCGTCATCGTCGTCTTCATAATCAGCGTTGCCAACCACATCGTAGCCTCCACCGCCACCGTGACCGTGTCGAGGGTGATTACCACGGAACATTTGTTCAATCTCTTCCAAGGACAACCCCTTGGTTTCGGGAAGAGCAAAGTATAACCAGACAAAACCAATCACCGCCACACTTCCATACATCCAAAATGCGCCGTAGGCTGTCACGCTTTCCGGTCGACTAATGGAGAGAAACGTAGCACTCACAAGGAGGTTGCCAATCCAATTGGAGGCAGTGGAACAACTCACAGCAATGGAACGAAAGCGCATGGGGAAGATTTCCGAGTTGAGGGTCCAGGGCAGTCCTCCCATTCCAATGCCGAATGCCATTAGGTAGGCGACCATAAAGACCACTGACAACCATCCCCACGGATTCGAACACGTGTTGTAAATCCATCGCGTATCTCGGCCACAAACCGGAGGGTCAAAACTGGTGTTGTTGTGTGTGGGTTGAAAGGGACCCTTTTCATTTCCTGCAACGCATCGTCCGCCGCAAAAGCCACATCCATCCATCTGGGCACAATCGTAGCAGTATGTTGTCACTCCACTCCAAACCATTGCTGAAATACCGTGACACGTGTCATCAGTGGCCAACACATCACGTGACGATACTCGACTTAGATAGAAGGATCCACCCAACCCAAATAAACTGTTGGTTATCGTCGTACGGTAGGTAGAGCAGGAGATTAGTCTGTGTTTCCAATAGAAAGATAGATGATACAACGATAACTATGCAGTCCAGCTTTGCTTCTTACCAGATCGCCACCAGCCCTAGTGACGTGAGTATGAGTTGTCGTCTGCCTGCTATATCCACCAAGTAAATGCTGGCGGCAATACCAGCCACTTGTGCCAACGCTGTAAAGCCACTCAACCAAACTGCCGTGACCTCTGTTGGTTATTGTCGTACGTTATTAGAGCGGGAGATTAGTCGTCGGTATGGTTCCCATAGAAACATGATACGACGAGAAAACTTTGTCTTCCAGCTTGCTGCTTACCATCAAATTGGGACATTTCGTAGATACTGGCAGCATAGTACTGCAAGTACAGCGGTTGTCAGAACCTTGAACAAGTGCTGTTTCATTTCATTTCATTCCATTTCCAGCCTTAACGTACGTACCATGACAGTATTGATCCCCGACAGCTGCTGCACCCACATGAGGCCACAGCCTAGGAACAGTGCCTTTCTGGCCCCTTTATCCTGCAACATGTTGTGTACTTGTTTTGCAAATTGCTGAATATTGTGCCACGTAGCTTGCAATGTAGTTTCACGGGTTACAGTTGCCGTTGCAGTACTCGCAGTGATCCCCCCCTCTTCATTGTTGTTATTATCCTCAATCATTTCCAAAATTTCCAGAGGCAATGCGTTTTTGATCTCTTGCAGTTCTTCCATGGCATCTTCATCGGATTCCCGAAATTGTTGCAATACCAATGCAGCTTCTTCAATGCGTCCTTTATTGGCTAGCCATCGTGGTGATTCTGGCAATCTCAAGAATCCCCACGTCATGATTAATGCTGGTACAGCCGCCAGCCCCAACATGTACCTCCAACCCGTATCGGGCATGACTTCATCCAATGCGCCATCGACCATTCCAGCAGTGAATTGTCCCACAGTGACGAGGAGTGCATTGACCGTTACCAGTCTTCCTCTCATGCGTGGCAAGGACATCTCCGCGATATAGACGGGGGTCGTCAAACTGGCAATTCCAATGCCCAGACCGACCACGATTCTCCCCAGTACCAGAGTGGTATAATCCCAGCAAACAAATAGTATGAATGAGCCAGCCGTAAAGACAATGGAGGCAATCAGACAACATTTGCGACGTCCGAGTTTGTCATTCAACGACCCCCCCGCGAGAGAAGCGACCAAAGCGGCCAGGACAGTGGATGAGACGACCACTTCCTTTTCTTCGGCGGTTAACGAAAACGCCCTGGCCAAGGGCAACATGGCTCCCGAGATGACGCCCGTGTCGTACCCAAACAAAAAGCCACCGATGCTGGCCAAACAGGTCAAGAATCGCATGTCTTTCATGACCTTGTCGGCTCGGATGCGACGAATGCCTTCCTGGGTCCAAGAATTTCGTGGGCTGCTGGCTTTATTGTTGTTGTCATCGCTGCTGTTACTTGCACTTGTCATGGTCGTACTGCCGTCGACGGACGACGGTTGACTGGCCAGGACATCCACATGCGTCTCTGTTTCGACCGTGCTACCACTTGGAACAGCGTCGTGATGAGGGTCTTTCCGTGCCATAGTTTATTAGTTTGTCGAAGTATTGACTAACCAGGAAGTAGCAATGCTCGAGTGCCGCAAATGTATACTTGCCTTCAAAAGTAGATTGTGTGGATTGTTGATGGGTGAGGGGTGTGTGTTGCTTCCGACCTCTTCGAAACTCGAAACGCGACAGGACATGGGAAATGAAAAACTGGAAAATGGAGAAAAGGCTTCTTCTACAGTAAACCTTGAAAATATCCGTCAAATACCATATTTTGATATTTTGCCACTGACGTTTCGTCGCTCACAAAAAGGGAAGCCCCCTGGAAGGTCCCGGAATGAACCATGAAACACGACTGGATGTCAGTTTCGGTAAATTTTGTTTTCAGTTTTACGTAATGTATCGAACTGTATCGAAATGTTCATTAAAACTAGCATATTTACATAAAGTTCCGTAAAACTGTAAAAACCGTAAAACTGTTTGGTATCAAATTGTGAGCGTCGATCAGCCGGAGCGCTCCGGTGCTCGTCCAGCTAGCCGGCTGTGATTGCCGAAAAGCTCCTCACTTTTTCAAAACGCTGACATGTTTTTCGCGTCCGTGAAGATGAGAAGATGAGCGAGACCATCCGCATTTTTCAAGCTAGTTGCGCTTCCACAACAACAATGATGACAGCTATCCTAGCTCGGACTGGCACTTTTGTAATGGTGGCCATCCTACTTGAACAGGCCAAATGTGTAACTTCCTTGGCATCATCAGTGCCGCCAGTCTTCCTGCCAACGTCTCAAAGTGCCATGATCAAACAAGCCGCCTCAGCCATTCAGACAGCCTTGTTGGATGATAAGATCCATCTTCAAACAATCCGATTGCCGCTATCTGAAGCCATGTACAGCGAGTCCGAAGAAGGATTCGTGGCGGATAGAGCCATTGGTTGGCAGGGTGGTCCTCAAGAAACCTACAGATATCTTTCTCCCTTGGTACGACAGTTATTGCAATCAGTAGACACTCTTGGTGGTGGATCTAATGCTGCAGTGTTGCCACGAATTCAAGAACAAGTAATGTTGGACTTTGACGGCAGTGCCCTAATGACCTCCGAGTCCCCAGCGGGACCTTTGGGGGACGCTCAGGCTTTGATTCAACCCAACACGGATGCGTACTATTACCCCAAGACGATCCCCACAATTGAATCGCAAATGGTGGTACAAAGCAACGGCACCACCGTGAGTCGACTTTTTCTCTTGGTCAATCCAGCATGGAGGGATGTCAGCAGTTTTGGATTCTTGGCACCAAAAGAAAAAGTCCAACGAGATCTTCTAGACACATATCCGACAACCTACGCTGTGGATCAGTTTGTTGTCCGAGGACAAAAGTGCAGTCTTCTCAAAGTATGGCCCCATGATTGGTGTGTCTTTGTGTCGAATTTGCCCTATGATAATGACAACAACGGTGACAAGTCGTTAGCAACTTTCTTGGGGTCCTTTGAGGAACGTCCCCCGTACAATGTGATGGATGAACTCATACTGGCCGCATTGCAAAAGAAGAACTGAAGCAAGGACAAAAATTGCAAACCGTTTCAAGGAAGTCCATCTCTTCAACCACTACTGGTACCGGTACGAGCTAGAAGCCACCCTGCACCGTTGCATGCGGCAAGACAACGCCGCTGAACGAATGCTTTGGATCATAACAGTGGCTGCCTACGTACTACATCTAAAAATGCTCCATATGACATATTGTGTGGTTATGAATGTACAGGTACATATAGCCATCCTCATGGATGTATTGTGTTCTGGTTGGAGGCAGCCCCCAATGTCAACCGAAGATCCACTCTTCGAGGCAATGCCTAGCATCGAGTGACGAACAGCAAACTTACACTTAAGTTTTTGTTTGCCTTGTTGTTGCCCATGGCGTTGCGTCATTTAGAGATGCATTGTCACTTACTGCCGCCCGCTATGATTCTGGAGGAGTCTCTATTCGATCCACAAGCATGACTCCATTGATGTTGGTCCAGGGCTCTCCCTCGGGCCAAAGATATTCCATGATGTAGTTTTCGTAGGCTGCACCTTGGAGAAGATCAAATATGGAGCCGTCGTAAGGAACTCCAGCGAACGTAGCAGTTGTGATGTAGTCCACTTGGAGAGGCTGCGCTTCGCCTTCGTTGTAGAAGGAGGATTCAATTTCTGTGTTGGAGCTGAGCAACTCTGTCTCGTTGTTGTCCTTGAAGAACGCAGTCAGAGTCTCGGCGAAGAACAAGTCCGTGGCCATCTCGAGCTTGGTATAGTCGTCTTTGCTCGGTCGGGACTCTGTTCCTTCAAAGAAGGAGTGAATCATTGAGGACTGAACTCTCTGCCCACTTTGTGCCGTACCAATTAGCCCTTCCGATGGTTGTCCTTCTTCAGAACTATCTGAGGAGCCTTCTTCTGCTGAGTACTCCAAGAACCCAACCCGATCTACCGTAGCCCACATGCAATCGCAGGGGGCAAGGTAGAGCCTGATGTAGGCATCGAACATGTTTCCAGCCATAATGTCGAACAGTTCCTCGTCCGATGGGATGATCATTGAGTCCTCGTCGAACTTTACTTCGTACTTGAAGTCAACAAGGACAGGCGGAGTCGCTTCCAGATCAACTGTCGTAGCCAGCCGCGATACGTCGAGTTCTTCAAACTGAGTGTCCGGGTTGTCCTTGTAGAGATCAGTCAGTAAGTCTGTGAAGAAGGTTTGTGTCAAGGTCGTCAGCTCATCAAAGTCTTCGTCAGTTGGTTCCGTCGTTGGATCAGTACTGAAATCGTAAACCATTGTGGAGTAGACATCGACTTCAGGGCCCGATGGGCCTGGTTCTTCCGGCTCTTCCGGGAGATTTGGCTCAACCTTGACACTAGAAACGTTGTTCCAAATGTCTTCTCGTCCCCACAAGTAGAAATAGGTGAATTCTTCGGCACTGAATGCGTCTTCGAGAATCTGAGCCACTTCAGCTGCGTCGGGGGCGTGATCAGGCGATTCATTGTACAAGACGTGGAACGTGACGTCGATCTGTAAGGGGTAGTCGGCTCCAGGTTGGACAACAACCTTTTCTATTGTTGGCGTCACCGAGATGAAGGTGCCAGGCTTTTCTTCGTGGAGGTATTCAAATAGGCCAACTGCATATTCCTTGACTGCGTGCTCAAAGGTTTCAATCTCTTCTGGAGTTGGTTCGCCTGCGCCAGAGCTTGAATCAACATGGCCATCCAATTTTCGTCGGCCTTCGGGGTCTTCCTCAGGCTTATCAAAGGCGAAGTAAAAGGTCACGGGCACCTCTACCACGGTGGGCCCTTCAGCTTCGGGCACAGTTGGATGTTCTGTGGGTACCTCGGTTTCGTAGTAGTCTGCAGGAACCAGCAACAGCAATAAAATACATAATGAGAAACAATGGCCATGTATAGTCAAGCAGCCGCGAGTTCTTACCATACGAGTCAGATGATGACTTCTTCAGCTTGTACTTGGACTTTACGTAGTGAGTTTCCTTGGAGCTTTTCTGCTTCTTCTCCACAGCGTGTCCGTTATACTTGTAGCTCTTTTTGCCTTTGTCTTTGCCTCCTTTGCTCTTATCGCCTTTCGTTTTTCCACCTTTATCCTTGCTTTTGTCCTTGCCTTTGTAGTAACCCTTGTCACTCTTGTCTCCTTTGTAGCCCTTGTCGCTCTTGCCTCCTTTGGCCCCTTTGTCATTCTTTCCTCCCTTGTACTTTCCGCTCTTCGAATCGCTTTTGTTCTTTCCGCCCTTGTAGTATGTTTCGCTGGTAACTTTGTATCCTTTGGCTCCACCTTCTTTCACTCCTCCTTTGGCTCCACCTTCTTTCACTCCTCCTTTAGAGCCGCCTTCTTTCGTTCCTCCTTTGACCCCACCTTCTTTAGTTCCTCCTTTAGTTACTCCTCCTCCTTTTGTTCCTCCTCCTCCTCCTTTGGCTCCACCTTCTTTGGCTCCACCTTCTTTCGTTCCTCCTTTGGCTCCGCCTTTTGGATGTTGGAGTTCATACTCGTCGTCACCTTCTGGTTCCTCTACACCCGAATGATCATACTCATCATCTTCATGCACATGGTCATAATCGGGTTGTTCTGGATGATTATGGGGATGGTGGTGGTGTGGATAATTTTCTTCAACCTCTTCTTCATGTACTGCCACTTCCTCCTTTGCTTTGGCGCCGCCCATCATGTTGTGATGCATTCGCTGATTCTTGTGGTGCTTTCTTTTTTCATTTTGATTTCCTTCATGATTCTTCAGTGACCGAGCTGCTACTGTTGCCGCTGTGCTGTCACTAGGAGGTGTGTCGTCCAATGGTCTAACTTCATTGTCGACGCCACGGTTCGCACCTCTGATCTTCCCTAAAACTCCGCAATTAACTAACGCCAACAGCAGAAAGCACACGTAGGCAAATCTTCTAGGATTCGCCATTGTCACAGAGGGAGTTATCGAATTTGTCGGTTTAATCTGTGTCCTGTTGCCTGGCGGATTCTTGTAGCAGTTTCAGTTGTGCGTATTCGAGGTTCTTGCGAGGTGAAAATGTGAGCGTTGCACCCAAAAATTGTGGAATTGTGACGGCAATTTTTGTGAAGCCTGTGCGGGAGTCAAGGGACCGTTACTGAGGCAAGAAGTCGTAACTGCAGGGCTCTTGAAAAATGGAACGTTGAAGAAAGCAAAATTTTGCCAAGAGAGGCAGAGCAGGATGCTGGCATCCCTCAACCGTACATGTGGCTTGGGAAGAGCCGAGGGCTAGCCATGGTACAGTTCCAGGGAGAGTCAGCGTCGGGCTGTCTTGTAGCCCCTCCAGACAGGCTAGCTAGAGCTACTTTGGTACTGGCTACACTGTGCAGTGCAGCGGTCACCAGCCAGCCGAAGAAGAGGAAGCAAGCGAAGCTAAAGGGACATAAGACCTCCAGGTGGATCAGTGACTTGGATTGTCTTCAGGTTGATTAGCTACATTGGAATGGTGCGAAGCAGAAAATGGACTAGTAGCCTTTTCAGTTTTAGTTGACTGGCACCTTGGTGCGGGCTCTTGCAAGAGGGTTGCAGTGTCTCAACCCAAAAGAACTACAGTAGTTGGTGACAGGTAGTTTCTAACTCAAAACCAAACCTTCTGAACCTCTGCACTTGTTTTCCCTTCAAATGAGTCCCCCTTTTGCAGCACGCACTCCAACTATCGCCTCTGAGGAATGATTTGATTGGGTAAGTGTGAGAGAGTGGAAAGGACCAGGTACATGTATAGTATGCCAAAGCGATCTCTCGGAGCAGTGGACTGTGGTTTTGTAATGCTGTGGCTGGAGGTGTAGTGAGTAGTCTACATGGACACTGAACTGTCACTCTGCTAGCTCTCACCAGCGCTGGTGAAGCAACATGGAAGATAGACTTAGCAAACCGAAACTAAAACAAGCGCCTGAGGTGCAACAGCATGCCATTTCCCATTCTCGAGCAAGCTCCATCAACATTCAGGCTCCCATTCTCAAACTGCTAAAGTAGCTAGGTAGCTATGCATAGCTACTACCAGTACCAGCTAGTACCCCATGTTGGCCACCTACGGTGTTGGAGGACGCCTGTGGCCCCGTCTTGGGTCGTCTAGTTGACAGCGGGGGTGAGGATGGACACACGAGCAGACCATTAACAGTAGCCAAACGTAAAATCCGGCCCGTAGAAATCTGGCCATCTCGAGGGTGGCCGTTGGCTGTCATTGCAGGCGGAAAGATTGCAGTACTGATCCACGCAGGATCGCCGTTGGAATTTTATCAATGGAAAGCACGAAAAAAAATCCATAGAGCACTCGATCACAACCAGAGGAAACTAGAAGCTTGAAACAATGGGCAAGTACGACGACTACGACTGGGACGAGCTCCCCAAAGAAGTTCAAGAAGCCGCCACGAAGCTTGGATTCACCAAGCAGATGTGGGACAACGACAAGGAGCCAGACACTGAAGATTTGGACTGGGATGAACTCAGTTCCGAACAACAAA